GCAAATGATAAAGGAAAGCATCTTCAATAAATGTTGTTGGTATAACTGTAAGTTGGCATATAGAAAAATACAAATAGATCCTCATCTGTCACTTTACACAAAACTCAATTCCAAGCAGATCAAAGATCTCAACATAAATCCAGTTATACTGAACATTATAAAAGAGAAAGTGGGAAATAGTCTTGAATGCATTGTCATAGGATAATATTTCCTAAATATAATACCAGAAACTGTGATCATCAATTAATAAATGTGACCTCCTGAAAATGAAGAGCTTCTGTAAGGCAAAGGACACTGTCAATAAGACAAAATGACAGCCTACAGAATAGAACCACATCTGAGAGGGCTGATCTCTAAAATAGACAAAAAACTCAAGAAACTAGACATCAAAATACCAAACAATCCAATTTTAAAAAATGGGGTACAGATCTAAACAGACTGTTTTCAACAGAAGATTCTCAAATGGCCAACATACACTTAAAGAATTGTTGAACATCCTTAGCTATCAGAGAAATTCAAATTGAAACAACTCTAAGATATAATTTTACACCTGTTACAATGGCTAAGATCAAAAATACAAATGGCAGCTTATGTTGGAGAGGATGTGAAGTAAGGGGAACACTCCTCCACTGCTTGTGGAAGTGCAAACTTGTTTAACCACTTTGGAAACTGTTATAGTGGTTTCCCAAAAATATGGAAATAAATCCACCTTAAGACCCAGCCATAACAATCTTGGGCATGTGCCCAAGGGGCACTTCATTCTACCACAAGATCACTTGCCAACTATGTTCATAACAACCTTCCTCATAATAGTCAGAACCTGGAAACAACCTAGAAACCCCTCAACCAAAGGATGAGGAAAATGTTTACACAATGGAATTTATTCAACTGTAAAAACAACAATGACCTCATGAAATTTTCAGGAAAACAGATGGAACTAGAAAAAAAATCATTCTGAGTGAGTTAACCCAGACCCAGGAAAACAAAAATTATATATAATTACTTATAAGTGGTTATTAGGAGTAAAGTCCAAGAAAACCAACCTACAATCCACAGCCCCAGCAAGGAAGGACTAAAGAGGGATGCATGGATCTCTCTGGGAAAGGGAAACACAAGAGATCTCCTGGATAAACTGGGGTCAGGGTAGGGGGAATGGTGGATGGGAACTTAAGGAGAGACCTGGACAGGATGGGCACTGAAGGCAGGTTGGGGGTAGGATGAAAGAGAGTAATGAAAGAGATGTCTTGATACAAGAGGCTATTTTAGGATTAGGGAGAACTATAGTGCCAGGGAAACTCCCATGATTCCACAAGGATGACCTGGCTAAGACTCCTAGCAATAGTGGAGAGGGTGTGTGAACTGGTCATCTACTGGAATCACATTGGTGACTACCCTAATTGTCATCAGAGAGTCTTTATTCAGTAACTGATGGATGCAGAGAATCTCACCCATGTACTGAGATAAGCTCTGGGAGTCCTCCTGAAAAAAGGGATGAAGGATTCTATGAGCCAGGGTGATCAAGATCATGATGGGGGAAACCACATAGACAGCTGAAATGAGCTCATGGGAAATCTAGACCAGTAGTTAGGTAGCCTGCTTAGGACTGACCTAGGTCTTTTGCATGTGTATGACACTTATGTAGCTGAGTCTGTTTGTAAGGCTCCTAGCAGTAAGATTAGGACCTGTCCCTGATGCTTAGCTGGCTTTTGGATTACCTTACCCAACCTTGATGCCTGAGGAGGACCTTGGGGTAGATGGGAGCCAGGGTGGAGGGGGGACATGGATAAAATGGAAGAAGAGTCAGGGGAAACTGTGATAGGTATGTAAAAGAAATTGAAAAATGTTAATTAAAATAAATAAATAAAAATAAAAAAAACAGAAACTGGAAACAAATTAAATGTCCCCCAACAGAAGAATGAAAAAACAAAATGTGATACATTTACACAATAGAGTATTACACAGCAGTTAAAAAATGACATTTGGAGGCAAATAGACTGAAGAGAAGATCATTCTGAATGACTTAACCCAGACCCAGAAATATAAATATGGTAAGCATTCACTTACAAGTGGATATTACCTATTAAGTAAATGATAACAAGCTACAATTGGTAGGCCCAGAGAGACCAGATGCACTCATATGTATTTATGTTATCCTGTTTTAAATTTACTTTGTATGCTTTTTTAAAAATCATAGTCATGGCCTCCAATAGTGGCATACACCTTTAATCTCAAAACTCGGGAGGTAAATGCAGGCAAATCTCTATGATTATGAGGACAGCCTGGTCTACATTGTGAGTTCTAAGACAACCAGGACTATACAGAGAAACCCTGTCTTGAAAAATAATCATAGGCTTATATTTTAAGAATAAATATTCTTAGGGATTTGTTTACGGTATTAAGTTTGTTCATTTCATTTTCAGAACAAATAATGATGTGTGTCAAATAAGCCTATTCGCTTCCCAGAACTGATCCTGGCTATTTGCTGATTTTCTCTGCATCAATCTATACTGTTGACTGTAATATAGAAGTCAGACCACACTTTTTATGATGTGATTGTGGCTCACATTCACTTTCAACCCTTTATATGACTGGATATTGCCTAGATCAATTTGTCTTTTATAAACATTGTTGGTCTTTTAACATGTGTGCTTGAGAATGCATACAAAGCATTCACAACTCTTGTTTGCTTTCACACTGCAATGATTACAAAAGAAAAACTGAAAAATGTTCTAGGTATTTAGACTACACTGAGGAAATTAAGAATATCCAATAACCATACCATCCTTAGAATAAATAGAAATGTTTAACTTTCTAGAAACATTCATATATATCAAATTGATTTAACTTTTTAAAGACACCTTTTTTCTACTTCTGCAGTTCTAGATTAAAAGTATTAGACTTTCAAAAACACTATTAATATAAAAATTATACTTTCATGATCTATTGAACCCTAAGCATGATGTATCCTCTATCATGTAGATTTTTTTTAAGTTGACATATTCCCTCCTGGAGGGAAGACAAGTGCTGATCACACTCATGAAATAACAAAGCTCATCGTCTTCACAAGGCACTTCCTGAGAACATCATCAGTATACAGAGTCAGGAGGCAAACAGACTCCTCAGTGAAGCCAACTGCAGTCTAGGCAGGGAGCTTCATTGAGGGAGCTTAGACACTCACCAGCCACATGTCTGTGAGTTTTCAGTGAACAGTACAGAGTACAACTCCTACCTATCACAGACAATAAGAAAGTATAATATATGTCAAATTACTAATTGTATATTTCATGAATAAATTATGTTTCTATCTAATAAAGATAAAATGTTTGGTAGACTTTTTAAAGTCTATGCTAACCTATGAGAATAGTGACATAACTCTCCAGAAAGTTTTAACCAACCACATCACTTTGTCAATTCACAATGACAATCACTAATCAAAACTAAAAGGTTAAAATGTTGCTTTGTAGCTCAACAGGTTTACACCACATTATTCTGAGGCATCTGTAGGGAGATGTGCACTTTTAAAATTTGGCCTTCAAAATCTTGTAGACTAAGCTCTTTAATATAGGCACCTTGTTTGGGACCATATTCTCATACATCCCTCTCTTGGGAAATTATGGAAAATAACTCTCAGGAAGTTACATCTTTCTTCATTATCATTTTCTTTTCATGTATTACTGCATAAAAATGCAGTGGGTGAAAATGAATTGTGAATCATCAGTTATATGGTCATCCAGTAGTCATACTACCATTTCCTAAATTAGATGGCAGATTGATATAAATATAGAGACTGAAAGAGGGATAGAGGTTGGGATATCCTTGGTTGTTGGAACTGAAGGCACAAATGTATAAACTATACCAATAGACCCCATGTGCAGTTTCTTAAATAGAAGTAAACTGTTGTCTTTTTAGACAATTAACATCCATGCTATGGAACAGGGGGATAGTCTAGATATTATTATAACACTGTGTTCAATGGCCAAAATGTATGTAATTTTATAAAAACAGTCATAGACACAATCCACATATCATAGACAAAAATGTGACACTTTCAAATATATTCACAAAAAAATTAACAGTTTGCTGAAATTGTCTCAAAATCATGGGGGAATACAGAAAAAGGGAAGGAGGAATAGGCCTAATACACCCCCTGATAATCATAAAAGGAAAACCTTATCCCATCAAATTGCAGAATTCAATCATAATTTTTGAACCAAAAGGGTAGAAAAATAAACAATATTAAGTAATTTCTGGGATTTTGACAATTATACCATGCCCAGAATTTTCTTCTCATCCCCTTGAATGAATATGAAAATTTATTCAAATAAGGAGATTAAATACAGACATACACCAGAAAACAAAGAAATTAACTATAAATACAGCATATAGCTCCAAGAATTTTATTGACTAGAAAAACTATGTGAGTGGAGTCATGGAGAGAGCTCAGTTGTTAAGAGCTCTTCATGATCTTACAGAAGACATAAGTTTCTTTACCATCACACACATGGTGGCTACTGACTGCCTGCGAATATTCTGACATTCATTTCTGTCTGGAAATCTGACACACTCTTCATTTCCCAACCAGCCCCTAAGTTCATATGTTAAGCATATACTCAGGGACACACAAACACATACATATAAATTTTGAAATAAATGTACAAATATTTTTAAAAGAAAGACATGAAAGAAAAACTACGAAGAAATTTTATCCTCCAGTAAGGTTAAAAAACAAAAAGCTGACCAGGGTCTTAATCTTCTATAGAGAGTGGACTTGAGATCGTCTTAAAAACACATTGAATCTGAGGATGTCTCATATCCTCACAGGTCACACAGAGCTATATTGCATGGTAGAAAAAGAATATACTATAAATTCCATCAGTGCTAATGAAGGACAAATGTTAAACAAAATTAATGGAATATAGGTAATGTCAAAGACAAGACAGGAAAAAAAAAAACACATCAAACTGAGAGGGATGGGGCTAAAGGAAGTACCACAGGATGAATCAGCTCATGAATTTCTTCCAGGTTTTCTTCACAGCAAGCATGACATCCTTGTTTCTGAGGCTGTAAATGAGAGGATTCAACATGGGAACCAATAAAGTATAAAAGACAGAGAAAAATTTTCCCTGGGCAACAGTCTCAGTAGATGATGGCTTGACATAAGCAAGTAGCCCAGATCCATAGAAGAGACTAACAGTTATGATGTGAGATCCACAAGTGCCCAAGGCTTTGGACCAAGCCTTACCTGATGACATATGAATGATATTGAAAAGGATCATAGCATATGAGATAAAGATAATGAGGCTACATAATATGATAGCTGTACCCACCACAGCACTACTCACAAGCTCATTGACATAAGTGTTACTGCAGGAGATCTGGAGGACAGGGAAGATGTCACACATGTAGTGATCAATGAGGTTCATGGCACAAGCAAAACCCATCAAATAAGAAACAAATATCAACAAACAACAGATCTTAGGGGACATAACAACCTTGTATAGCAGTGGCTGACAGATGGCCACATAGCGATCATAGGCCATGGCTGTCAGCACATAACTCTCTGAGTTCACAAAAAATAGGAAGAAAAACAGCTGAGTCATGCATCCTCTGAAGGAGATGGTGTTCTTCTCCAAAACAAAACTCATCAGCATTTTGGGAGTAAAGACAAGTGAATAACAGAAATCAATGAAGGACAGATTGAAGATAAAAAAGTACATGGGAGTGTGAAGATTTGAGTTTAGGTAAATGAGATTCATTAAACTCAAGTTTCCTATCACAGTGGCTGTGTAGTTCACCAAGAACAGAACAAATAAGGGCAGCCGGAGCTCAGCTTGGTCTGTCAGTCCCATAAGAATGAACTCGGATACTGAAGAGTCATTTTCCATGGTCATTTGCGTCACTTGTGGCTTCTGCAAGAATAAGTGTAGAAAGCAATATTAACCTGTAAACCATCATTCACTCCAAGGGCAGAGTTGATTGTATTGTTTTCCATGCTTGATAGAGAGAACAAGGAGCCCTGCAGAATCTCTCTTTCCTCTTCCCCCTACCCATATTGCTTGTATCTCTCCAGAAAGATTCTTTGAGCATTACAGAATTTCCTACACTAGACACTTACTAAGGATTAACTCTGGAAAGAGCAGTACATAGTCCTCAGGACCTAGGACTTAGATAGCTGTGGCTTTGAAGGTGAAATATCAAGATAAAGATTATTCAATGCTCACGTTAGTTCACCTGGGTCCTTCCCTGACATTGAAGTTCATGGTGTCTTTTTCCACACTGTGCTCAGATGGCCATTGTTGCTAATAATGAAGCAAGCAGTTGCAATCAGTACAGACAATGTGTCTGACTTGCTAAGAAGAGATTTCCTGAGGAGAAATGACATGATCTCTATTTGAGAATTTCATAAATGTTCTTCCCTCATACAAAAAACAAAATAGCTTTCCTATATTTGTCTCCAAATTCTCATAGTCAAGATTTCCTAGAAGATTCATTAGAAACACAGAAAATTATTCTCTTCTTTATAATATTCTCCATGTTTGATTAGTCCCTTAACAGTAGAATTTATTGAGCTTGTGCCTTAGAGTTAACAACAGTCCTTTAGAGATTAAGCATTCTACTCAATTTATAAATTTCCAAAAGGAGTAGCTAGTCTCCAGGGCAGAACTGTGAGTGGTCCCCTTTGTCATTCTCTTCATTAAGCTTTGCATACTCACAAGAGGAAATGTCTGGGGACATGTACATTTGACATTTTAACTTTCCTATTATTTCAGTAATAAACCATTTAGCAAGGGCTAACACTGTACAAAAATAATTGTATAAAGAGGATAAAAGTATATGAATAGGTTGCCAAGTTTGTACAAATTGTACAAATTACATTATAACTTTTTACTTCCTAGCTATGTAACTATAGGCTAAACTGGTCCTCACTTACTTACATCTGTATCCTCTTATGAATGACTATAAAAATAGATGCATAAAAAACTGACATAAATTCTAAAACAGTGGAAAATTTCTGATTTATCATAAAGAAATTTGTGGGTATATCTTACACAAACAATAATTCAAATACACAAGATATCTCTTAAGTTTTGAGAAAATTTACACAATGTATTAAAAGTTTACTAAATAAATAAAAGTATACTAGTGTTTGTCCCCTTATAGTGTTTACATGCTTACTTGGGTAAATAAAGTTGCTCTTGCCTTGACACACTTGAAAAAGATAAATTCTTGGTGCACTGTGTCCTACCTATGCAGTGGCAATAAATGAGAACCTTTGTCCCGTACCATTCCATGTCATACTCTCCTCCTCAACACCATACACACTCAAATGTAGCCTGTGGTATTTCTCTATATATTATCAAATATGCATTGCATAGTAATTCTGTTAAGAAAATAAGGTGCTGAAGGATTTTTTCCCATGGGACTACCCTTTTCCATCTTATTCATGCTTTTCTTATACAATAGATCCTGACTGCAATATCGCCTCCCTCTACTCCTCCCCAGATCTACTGCTCCTCAGTTTCCCTTCAGAAAAGAGCACCACTCCCCCAAGGATATCAACTGAACATGGCATAACTAGATGCAATAGAACTAGGCACAAACCCTCATATCAGCATTGGACTAGGGAATCCAAGAAGAGAAAAAGAGTCCTAAGAGCAGGCAAAAGAGTGAGAGACATGCTTTACTCTGAAGCATGAACACACAAAGGTATAAAAAAACAATTTATTAAGAGGTCCAATTTAAAGGACAAACTCACAGATACAGGGAAATTCTGAAGCCCTCACCAATCCTGTGCTGACTCCCTTGGGTCTCCAACCACACCAAGCCAAGCCAGAGCAAGAGACAGAGTGTGCTTTCCTCTCAGTCTCATCGGTCCTCCTGTAGTATCCGAGGCCATGCCTTAAAGCTGGCACCTAAAGCTATTGGTGGAATGAATTCCCACAACACTTTCCCCTTTTTATATATAAGAGGGTTCTAAACCTAATACAAGACTATGTACAATCAGAACAAATATCAAGTATTGTCCAGGAGAATGGGTTATAATATACAAAAAAACAGAACTACAACCAACAAGAATAACATCAAGCAAGAAACATACTCAATGTCCAGGCTATAGGTAATTGGCAAAGAACAGAAATTATTTCATCAACTATCCTATCCTGAGGAGTCTAAGTCTTGTATGTAAGATGCCTCAACTAAAACATGCAAAGATAGTGACTGTGACTATCAAGTCTTCAACCCCATCAAAGGCCTGAGAAGAAATTAATATTACCTGAGTAAGCAGGAAGTGCAAGAAAAAGCAACTTTCAAAAAGTGCAAGAAATGACAGAAAAAGCTGGCCATGTTGACAATCATCAAATGTCGCTCTGCAATGTTGGGGCAGCCTACTTTGGCTATAATCCTAGAATATCTGACAGACCACATTCAAAATCAGGAAAATTCAAAATACTGTCCTACCCTGTCTTGGCAAGGTACAAAAGTCACATTTCCTTGACTCCTGCTTGTTCAGATTGGACAGTGTGCTTACTGTAAGCTGTCAAGGGAAGGGTGGTTTTGCCAAGAAGAAAACAAGCTCATCATTCTCTTGGGAACAGCTCAGTGCTGCCAGGAGCAGTCTTGTCTCACATCAAGAGAATTCTAAATTATTAAATGTCTTGTTCTGTAGATCTTAGAAGTGTCTGAAGATTATCTATGTGGAGTACATCTCTGTATCTAGAGAAGCTAATTATAAGTATGACAAACACAGGTGACTATAATCTGTAATTTTCAATAGCCTATATAGCTTACAGACTAGAACTTCACATAAAATCGAACAATCTTTAAACAGATGTGCATCCTGAGGACAATGACCTAGAAATTATAACAAATATATAAAAATATCTTGAACAGAGGTAGAAATACATACTACAATATGACAAAAACATCCTTAAAATGTATCAATATACAAAACACCTTAAGCAGACATAGAAACATACGTACATATAGTTAAACAAAAATAATTTTATATTTCTGTACAAAAACATTGTAAATAGGAATAGGAACATACACAGTATGACAAATATAATTTTGACTTGTATCAATATACAAATTATCTTAGACAGGAATACAAAAATAATTTTACATATGTATCTATACAAGAATCTATATCAATATAAATTGTCTATAGTTAATAGTTATTAAAATAGCTTGCAAGTAGATACACTAATCTACCTTATTAATCCTACCCTATCTTTCTTCCTTTTTTATAAACCAAACAAGATTCCTGAGCTTACTATCACTTTATCCACAACCCTATAATAACTTACAACCAACACTGAGAAAAACCAAAAACCATCCATCTCAACTGTTGGGAAATGGGGTGTCTTTTACTTAGAATTATTTTCAGCTGTCTAGGGGGTAACAGTATATCCAGGGAATCCTGTAAAAAAATTAAAACAATGATGAAGTTTCAAGAGGGCTAGCTGTAACATTTGTAGCCAGTCTCTCAGCAGAGGGTAAGCTTTATCTGAAGTTTGTGGCTAGAGTGTTGTAAGAAGGTGGACCATCTCAGCTAGCCAAGTTGGAATTGTCTTGAGCACTTTTAGTCCAAAGCTGATCCTGCACCAGTGTTATCAGCTAGATGTCATCATTATGAACCTTGTAGAAGCATTGTTGTGGGGCACCATCACAAGAACCAGCAGTACAGTTGAGGGAACATTATATGGAGAGTAGATAGCTGCATAGTCAAAAAGCCTACCACAGTCTAGGTGACTATTCAAAACCTGCATCCCTGGAGCTGTCTACAAAACTAGCAGGTACCTCTACAGGTGGGAGATAGTCCTCCAAACAACTCAGCTAGTCAGTCTTCCCCCTGTAGCAGTTAATTACTGCTTCTATGACAGGGTGGCTTTGAGAATCTAAGTTTTAATTGTCCTAGACTTGTGAGATTTCCTTACATACTCATGATCCTCTCTCTTCCCTCTAATTTTCTTTCAATTCAAAGAAAATTGCTATGCCCCTTTCTTGTATTTAACTTGGCCAATTTTGAGTTATTTTTGAGTGGATATGGAAAAGGCAGAACTGTTGAATATAGATATGCACTCATTTCAAAGTTACCCATTATCTATAGTAGAATAATTTTCTTTATTTGTCTTTATTTGTATATCTTGACATCTTTGTAGGAATTGATCAATGATGACTTTAGGGTTTATTTTTGCATTCTCATTTTGTTTCTCTGATTTGTCTATAGTTACTCTATAGCACATTGTCCTGATCAGGAAATTTTGAAATTTAGAAGTATGAGTACTACAACTTTGCATTTTCTCCACTTTGATACTTTTTTGTGATAGTTTCTGGAAGCTACTGATGGAAACTACTGCAATTATTTCACCTGGTCATCACTTCTCACTCCTGGGCCTGAGGCTAGTGCCTCCCTCTGACATTGCTCCAAAGTCTGGGGCTCTTGGCTCTCTTGATGCAGCTTGGGGCCTGAAGCTCAAACCTCCCTCTGCTGCTGCTGCTGCTCTGGGCCTGAAGTTCAGGCCTACCTCTGATGATGCTCCTGAGTCTCTATTTTGATATTTTTTTTAATCTATTGGTTAGACTATAAGTCAAACTGAGCGTTCAGCTGTGGATACATCATCACTGTTAACATGTTACCAACCAAAGCTCAAGGAAAGTCTTGGAAGCAGAAGGACAAATATGGTATGTTTTCCCTTATATCTGGATGTTAGCTGTTAAGTCATTGATAAGCAAACTACAATGTATAGGACAACAGATGATAAGGGATAGGAAGTGGAGAGATGGATCTCCCTCAGAAGGGAAAATAAAATAGTTACAGGTAGATAGCATGGGGTCTAGATCAGGAGGATCAAACAAGGAGAGGGAGATAAAAGGCAGCAAGGGAAATATGGGTAAGAACAGTTAAAACTAAAGTCAACTTAAGGAGGTACTTGGAAACCTAATACAGTAGAGAAACTTTCTAAAATAGATGCATATATAATGTCGATCTAAATGGAAATTGCCAAATAACATAGAAGGCAGAATCTCAAATAGATGTTTCTCATCACCATAAGCAGCTTCTAGAATACCAGGAAGGGGTTACATCTAACCAAGTTGTTGGCCAAAGGGATCCCATGGGAACTCCCAAACAACACAGGCTATAGACAAAACTGTGGTTTGCTCTCCGCAATTTGACAAAAAGGCCTGATGGCTGAAGAAAACCCCAACACAGCTCACTGAAGGAAAAGAAGTAAAGGAGGTGCATACCTAGAGCCTTTACTCCTATGAACAAATGCTCATGGTACCGGAAGGAGAAAGTTAAATGCTACCAAAGGAGAAAGGTAAACACTAACCCGGTTAAAAACACTTCAATCTACAATGGTGATCTATCTTCAAGATTTGCAGGTATAATAATGGCACAGAGTGCATGGAACCAACCCACCAATGTCTGAATTTATTTCAGGCCAATTCCATGAGAGGGAACCAATGGCAAATACTGGTTGAGTAGGCAGTGTGCATGGGACTACATTGGTCATGGGCCCCAGGTAATACCAAGTCCTACTGTTCTGCTAAAAGAACATAGCAATAAAATGACTCTAATGACATTATGTGCTACTCATAGGTCATTTCCTTACTCAAACACCATCAGAAAAGCTTCCTCCAAGAGTAGATGGGAACAAATATAGAGACTCCTAGCCAGATAATGTGAAGAGAGTGAGAGACCTTAGAATATGCAGCCCTAAAGGGAATATCTCCTTCAAATTTCTCCACTTGAGGCTTAGGTATTCTGTAGAAGAATAGACAAAAAAATGTAAAAGCCAGAAGAGATAGCTGACCAAAGGAAGCAAGACCACCTAAACACAACAGAATTGATACATATATGAACTCACAGAGATGGTAGGACCAGTCACAACTACTGTAGGTGTCTGTACCAGATAGAGATGTGATCTTAAAGCTAAGAGGAAAAGCAGATACATTGTCTACATCCTTAACACACAAGATTTCTCCAATTGATAACCACTTCAAATGGAAAATTGGTATTCACCAAGGGAGTCTTACTTAACGATAAGCCCCATGATCAGCTGTAGATGGTCAGCAGGAAACCAAGTCAAGAGTATCTTTGGGGGTTCTTTGTCTCATAAAGTTATGTTAGGGCACATTTTTCTTCAAGCTCATAGATCCTTTAGATACGTACTATGGCTTCTGGCTTTGTTCTCATGAGATCCTTGTATGTGCAAGCATGAATGTCTCTGCTTCCATAAGTGTTTCTTCTGTGCTTTTACTTTGGTTCCTTTTCTTCTATATATTTTTCTACTGTTATGACTTATTTGGTTTTCTTTGTCTTATTGTTTTTATTCTTTTTCCTTAGATACCTGTTTGTTTCCTAAGGAGATACAGAAAGAGTATGTATGTAAATACAGAGAGAGTGGGAGTAGGGAAGACATTGGACAAGCTGAGAGAGGGGAAAACTGTTATCAAAATATACTATATGAAAAATATATTTTCAAAATAAAATAATGTGAGGGCAAGTAGATGGGGAATATCTGAGAAGTACTGACTTTGAACATGACGTAGCTGTTGTACAATCCACTTATACCAGCAATGGTTACCTGCACAAAACATTTACA